TAAAATTAAAATTAACAGTGATCAATAATTTGTTTTGTTCTGTTCAGGCCAGGCTGGCTTGCTGGAAAAGGCAACTTTTTAGGGCGTGTCGAAAGGACCGGAGGTCGGGGATTATGCGACGCTCCGGGGGCAGCTCATTCCAGAGGGAAGGCGCTCCCACAGAGAAGGGTCTCCCCCTGGGGGTGGCTAGCCGACACTGTCTGGCCGATGGCACCCTGAAGAAGCCAACTGGATGGATCTGTGGCAACTTGCCACAGCCAACTTGCCGCATATAATTTGCCCCAGAGAACTCGCCATGGCCAAGTTGCCAAGGGACAAGAATTCTACTAATATCAAAGAAATAGTGGAATAGAATCATTAAAGAAAGGATGCCAAAGGAGGGACAGCATGAAATGTGAAGGACAAACATTAACAAAAAAATTTAAATTATTTTAAATAATTGAATTGTCCCACAGCGAGTTATCCTGTGGTGAGTTGGCTGCGACAAATTGTCCCATTCGGAAAGAGAACATGCAGGTAATCCTCGACTTACAATAGTCCATTTAATGACCGTTCAAAGTTACAACAGTACTGAAAAAGTGACTTATGGCCATTTTTCACACTTATGACCATTACAGAATTCCCCCCGCAGTCACATGATCAAAATTTGGACACTTGGCAACTGATTCACATTTATGATGGTTAAAGCATTCCGGGATCACAAGATCCTTTTGTGAAAAGCAAAGTCAGTGCAGAAGCCAAACTCACTTAACAACCATGTTCAACTTCAGTGATTCACTTAACAACTGTGGCAATAAAGGTTATAAGACGGGGCAAACCTCACTTAACAATTGCCTTGCTTAGCAATGGAAACTTTGGATTCAATTGTGGTCGTAAGTCGAGGACTAGCTGTACTGAAAAAAAACAAGAAAGTGTTCCAAGAAATCTTTTTTGATGTCAGCTATCAGGTCATTAAGTTCCATCTGAGTGGGACTTTATCTTCCCCTTTCAATTATCAAGCTGTTGAGGTGGTTTAAATTCTCATTTTCCAAATAGTTACTTTATAAACACCTAAATAAATTTAAAAAGCCCATCACTTACCTAAAACAACCACGACGTACATCACCGATTGATAGCTCTCACCATCTATCTTAGTTTTGCAAAAGACCATTCCCACATCACTGATCATGTTAGTGGGAATTGTAAAACCTTTCTGATTATCCCACGTAACTGACTTTCCATCGGGAACAAACGTTTTTTCTGGATATTTCTAGATGAAGAATGAATCAACAACAAATTTTATTCTGACGTGTTCTAAAATAGTCTAGAAGCTAGGGTAGATAAAGAACTAAAAGGCCCCCATTTGAAGGGCATGTAAAGTAATAAGACATCAGTAAAGCCTAAATTGAATTTCAACCGAAATGTAATAAAAATAAAAAGTAATTAAATGCAAATGCAATGCAATTATTTATTTCCCCATATATTAAATCACCTTTCCATTCCGGCAAATTCAAATTTACAAATGCTTCATCGTTTTGGGGGAAGAGTTTTGGAAGGCACATCAAGACTTAGGGGAACAGTGATCTAATACTGGACTGTAGCAGAGGTGGTATTCAGCAGGTTCTGACCTGTTCTGGAGAACTGATAGTGGAAATTTTGAGTAGTTCAGAGAACCAGTAAATATCACCTCTGACTGGCCACGCCCTCATCTATTCTCTGCCTCCCAAAATCCAGCTGATCGGGAGGGAATGGGGATTTTGCAGTATCCTTCCCCTGCCATGCCCACCAAGCCACACCCACCATGCCTCACCCACCAAACCCCGCCCACAGAACTAGTTGTAAAAAAAATTGTATCCCACCACTGGACTGTAAGTTATGCACCTTGAATCTAGTAAATTATGGAATTATATTTCACAACCTAATTCCCCCTGTCTATTTACAATTTTTTACACAGTGCCGTTTTATCAGGCCATGTGCCTCAAATGTAAAATGTGTGTTGTCAACATGAACACAAAAAGGAGCTAGAATCAAAAATACATATGTGGCTGGAAAAAAATGATAAATCAGCATATTGATTTAAAGCCAGGAATATTCTTTTGTTGGGGATTTTACCCGAAAAATATAGTAAAGGGAATGCATATTTACTTATTCATATATTAACTGCAGCTAGAATTGTATTTGCCCAAAATTGGAAAAGTGAAGAGATGCCCACAGATGGAATGTGATTGGGAAAATATTAGAACGCGCAGAAATGAATAGAGTAACACTAGCAATGAAGGAGAAAGAACAAACTGAATGTTATATGACACGGGACTTATTTTTATCAATGGTTAGATAACAAAAATGGAAGTTAGAAACAGGGTAACAAAAGAAAAAGATTAGTGCGATAAAGAAGATATGTTAAGAGAGAGAAGCAAATATTATGATTATTATGTTTAATATTAT